AGTGGTAGTGGTAGTAGTAGTAGTAGTAGTAGTGGTAGTAGTAGTAGTAGTAGTAGTAGTAGTAGTGGTAGTAGTAGTGGTAGTAGTAGTAGTAGGGTGATGGCGAATAGGGTAGTCGCAAAACGGTGGTGGTGGGTTTGAGTGTGGTTCGAGGTGAGGAGGACGGGCGCTTGGGGATGGATATAAAAAAGAGGGGAAGAAATCAGATTGCCGAATCGGATAACGAGAAAAGGAGTGGTTGGATTGGTGCAACCGGAGGAGAGATAAACGAGACGGGAATGCGAGAGATAGCGAGATGGACCGAGCGATAGGTAGATGAATGCATGGATGCATGACAGAACAGCAAATGAACAGGAGGTTGTTTCCTTCAAAACAATGAAACAGAGGAGTCAGTTTGGGGATGAGTGTAGTGTGTGCCGTGGTGGTGGTGGTGGTCAGGAAGGATGTTAGGTATTCTAGAGTCAGGCAGTGCGTGTTTGTGTGTGGGAGAGGTTGAAAAAGGTAAAGATCGCAAAACGGGATGAGTGAAATGTGGAGAACAAAGAGGACGGCCAGGGAGTACAGGCAGTCAACCGCACAACGCTACTGTGTGTGTAACGATCGGCTACACACACACACGTCCCCAAACTGACTTATCGAAACAAACAACACCACCGAACAACAAGGAGCGGCCTAGTTGGTTGCGGCTCCCGAGAGGAGGGGGCGGCAGGCTGAGAGCTTGCCTATCTGATGAGTTGACTAACTGGCTGGCTGGCGGTTGGCTAGCTGGTTGGCTGGCTGACAGATTAACGACGAACGAGCATGAAAGATGAGATAAACAGCCAAACACAAATGATAAGCTCGGCGATAAGCCAAGTCATGAAGCTTGTGATAGCTCTGCACTGATAAAACCTCGGGAGTGCATGTGTGTGTGTGCATACGTGCTTGAGTGCGCCACGAATGCAAGCGTAGACAAAATCCACTGGAAGATAGACAGACAGGCGATAATCAGGCAGTCAGACAGACGATTACAAACGGACAACAAAATCGCCATGGGTGGTGCCCGTTTTTGTCGATTTGATGAGCGATAATCGGAAAGGCAAAGCACGCGCGCGCACACCCATATGGGAGGGAGAGCAAGAAGAGAACATGAAAGGAGACAAACAAACCACACTTCAAACACATCACCATAGTGCATAGACCATGTCTAACCCTCGCATCTTCAAATAGTCCATCGACTTCCGGAATAAACCATCAGGCAACGTTTGCAACATTCAGCTGATGAAGAGGATGATTATGCGAGTTGGTTGTTGTTTCAGCTTAGGAGATGGTTGACCATCCGGAGGTTTGTGGCATTGCGGTGTTGGGATGAGCGACACAGAAGAATAACGACCATACGGGGTTGGTGGTTCGTGGTGAATGGGTGGTCAAGGCAACGATAATGATGACGATGATAAAAACGTTGATGTCGTTGATGTTGAGATGACGGCGATGAGGTGCGGAGGTTGCGAAGCGACTGGATCGTCACAACGGGCACAAGTCTTTCAAGATAAATGGATAAGCCTAAGTATATTCAGAAACCCCGCCAACTCGTCTGTAGTCGATCGTCGGTATGTCTGAAAGCGCTCGTGCGTGTGTCTGTTTATGCATACTTCTACGCAAGATCGGG